GATACTAATTCAGTTTTATATTCTGAGTCTAACGAGTGCTTGTGTCTTGCCCCTCCTATCTAGATGCCTATGGTCTAGAACGAATTGCTCTGAAGTTCGAAATTGTGTTTGGAGGCTAGGTCGCACTTATCTTTGACTTACTTCCAGGCTCTGACGACGGCGACACGGCCGAAACGTTAGCCAGTAAAGTGATTATATCATCTTGGTGTCGGCTACAGAAGCAACCCTACCAATTCCAGAATAGAATTGAGATCTGCCACTTGCCCCGTTAACACGAGCCTTCGGATGAGGGGATGGCGCGTGCGGTGGCACGCAACTAAGGCGTGTCCAAATGTTTCCAGGCCTTCTGCTCTGCCTTCTTCAGGGAATCAAACTTTTGTGTTGCATTTATTTGCGCTTGCATCCAGGGTGTGAAATACAGAAATCTAGAGCTATTAGGTGGAGGTTCCATTGTAACAATTCTTCGAAAGCAACGAACTCGAAAAATCGCTTTTTAGAGAATTTTTGCTTTATTCTTGGGTGCTCGGTCCTGTAAGAAGTCCCAAGTAGACTACTCGTGTGGCTTTCTATCCACTACAGATGTGGAGTCTTTAGAGTGTCTGGCTGGGTTTTCACATCAATTTTTTCATTTTGGGTGTACGAAAGTCGACAAGGGGAGACCTAGTTTCTGCATCTGATAATTATCCTGGTGGTAACTGTAACTTTCGAGTCCCCGAATTTTCCATCTGTGGTGGTTCCAAACTTATTGAAGAGTTGAACTGTTGCTCATAAGAGCTTCCCTGATACGTTAGACTGCCGCTAGATGTAACGTGCCAGAGCCCCTAGTGAGTTCAATTTGAGGACTGACTAAGGTGAAGTAGTTATTTCACTAGTTTTGAGAACTGCATGAAATTTGGTTTCATTAGGAAGAAGACATTGTACCCTTTCACATAGTGCACAGAAAAGGAGATGAAAATGGAGCGATACGGAAAAAAGTGGATATGACTGCGCGCGCACGCGGTCCTCATAATTTTGGACCACCCTGTAGACAAATTCAAGAAGTACTAGCCACTATATGTTTCAGGGTCATCTAACGAAGATGCTATGAGCAGCTCAAAAATACTCGAAACGCCAAAACGCAAAACTAGATGGTCCACAACTCAAAAGAGCTCGCGCCATACCAGGACGACCCTTATTCGCTTTGAAATAACCTTAGCGATGTAAAATCAATAACAGCAACGACAGCAAAGAAGAGAAAGGAAAGTTATAAGTAGATCATATTCATGCGATTGGTATGGTGCACAATTAATTTCCCCTAACGACACAAGATAGTTACTAAGAAAGATGCGATTCCGGTAAGGTGTGGACAATGCTGCAACTACTAGGCGACTCGACGATAAAATTTAGCGGAAAGAGCACAAAGAAGCTTACAAATATGCTAAAACAGAAGAAGTTTGCTTATTCCACTCAGCAAATCCATCCACTCTACTGGCTCAGATCAATTCACAGTTCCCAACACTGCCAAAAGTTCCTTACGACTCAACAAAAAGTTGACCATATTAAAAGACTTTCGTCTGTTAGGAATGCCACTGGAATTATACAACAAATAGGTGTCGGTTCAGAAACTGTGGAAACACAATATCGCAATTTTCAGCTTCTGAAATGGAGCATTCACAAGACTAAATAGACATACTCCTCATGAAACGCAACACGAGATATCCTTATCAACGCTGCCAAACTCTTCACATCGAGCATGCCTAGTCGATACCCCCGCGAAAACGATTTACTCCCTTTCACAACAGGTTAACACCGTCATCCTCACGAGTCTCATCAAAACACAAATATAGTCTTGTGATCTTAGAGACAACCTTTAGAAGAAGCCCCATCCATTTAGACACATTACTCGAAACTTACAAATACGTGAAAAAGCCAAAAGAAACAAAGACACAAACTAAAAATCGTACGAGGGTGCAAGTTTTATGGCACCTTCAGCTAACGCAACGAGTCGATCCAATAACGAAGTCGAAATCGTATACAAAGTACTGGATTCCTCGATCAATCGTTCGCACAATCCTCTTGAGCTAGGCAAGTCCATCTGAGAACGCATATGGAGCAGTCCATAACTGGCGATACGTTTGGAGACGAATACGGAAGGGGTGTTAGTTATCAAAGTGTAAAAAGTCCCTCTAATTCGCAAGGCAACGAGATCACCGTTGAGTTATTGACAATTGACAAACTTACTTCATCAATGCGATTGTATTCCTTGACACAAGGTTTGTTCAGCAAACATTTGCAGATAGTAAAGAATTACGGGTCTCACAAGAAATAGAAATTAGAGTAAACCCATGAATCCTTGTGATTGACTTTCTTTATTCGACCTTGCAAGTAAATGAACAAGTTACCCGCATGGTCAATCGTCCGTTGGACAAAGTCTATCGTGAAGGGGGGAGGGGTATTCGGAAGACGAGAGCGGCCGTATTTACAGAGGTCAACGTCGCAATGCGTGGAATGATGAAATGGTACACAGTATATACAGAAACGAATAAGGCTCTATGTATGCTCAGGCTCAGCGCATTAGAAGTTTGAAAATTCAAAGGCAAAGTTCGGGATTTTTGGCGTGCTGGAATTCAACTAGGCTGCGGACTACCAGTTACTACTAGCGCGAACTATGCGGCTCGCTTCTGCTCGTGTTTTTTCAGTAGTTGCCTTGCGATTTTTCGCAAATCGCAGTTATTTCCCTCTATGTAAGCCTTTTCTGGTAGGGTACAGTACAAATCAAGTCGGGAGGTGTCCGTTTCGAGACTCTTCAAGAGGGACAAGGAGCCGAAAAGATCTTGAAATCGGTCCAGGGTGACGGCTGACCCTGCCAAGAGAGTGAAGCTCGCTCTCCATGCATGCACCACAAATAAAGCTTTGAAAAGGTCACGAATAATGCCTGGGTCGAAATCGCTAACAAATTCTGTGTGCCGCCGGTCATATGGCTTCTACAAGCTGTAATTCGCCATAAAGCCAACTATATGTGACGACTTTGTAGCTGCGATGCAAAACAAATATTTGCAGTTTCATTGCGCTTCACTTCAAAATGCACTTTCTATGCCATAACCATTTTTGTCACCATCCCTATGGCGCACCATATGTACATGCGCTTTTGCCTTTTTGGTTGTAATTCCACTTTGCTCTCAAGAATCTTACACAAGATACGACACCTTATAAGTATTGCTCACTTGACCAGCTATTGCTAATGAAAAATTATTCTGTTGAAAAAAACTTGTTTCATTGAAAGTTCGCAATAATTAAACAAATCTGGAACGAAACAAACTTTTGCGTAAAATTCAAACAATTGTGAGCCGTCTAATTAAAGGCAAACCCGGCATTAGCACGATTAGTAGGAAGGAGACTACGAGGGAAATTGTATGGTTAAACCTACTTACGATCAGAACATTTCAGCTTCGTCGCACAAAATGCGTGATTAAAGAGCTAATTCTTACGCGCCTGCAACTATAAATACTTGCTGAACGCTCCCCAACCACCTCGACTAATGTAGAGATTAGCATGCTCTCTCGCGTGTCTCGTCTTCTTTGATCGCCCTGCCTCGCTGTCATACTTATTAGACTGACCGAAGGTCAGAACCTTAATTTCAGCGTTTCCACATACATACAAGGTGGGGCAAAATTATTGGTGCACCTATACGTTTTCGATTCTTTTTTCTCCTTGAAGATTTTTCCGGTTCACTCGCTTGTGATATGTTGCCTGGACATTTCGTAACTCGTCACAAAATGGTTTGTCGTTCTGACCTACAAAGCTCGGTCGTTGAAATTCATAACAACGGCAAGCGAACAAGAGAAGTTGTAGAGATCCTCTCTGTATCCCGCAGAACGGTTCAGAATACAGATCGAAGAGGACAGGAAGGAAGAGGACGTCCCACAACAGCTACGAGTCGGAGAAATGTGAGGCTCGTCAGAGAAAGAATTCGAAGGAACGCCAGGAGATCGATGCGCCAGATGGCGAAAGATGAAAGATGAAAGATGAAAGATGTGCGCATGTTCAATGAGGAGTATTGTCAGAAGTAAGCTGAACAAGTGGGAGGAAGACGTGTAGTCGCAAGTGACGAAATCCTGGGTCGTGAGTCGCCCGGGCCAACCAAGCCTTCCATCCCTCCGGGGTCGGTTAATTGGTACCAGACTTGTCTGGGAGGATAAAAACACTGACTTGTACATCGGCTGGCCCCCGCAAGTCATTGTATAGGCCACATCGCAAAACTACGAATGTACAAATGGAAGTAGAATGCGTGCCGCATCCCAAAAAGGGATTGATCAACGGCAAATGCTTTATCCTTTATGCTTTGCTTTTAAGCTGAAGAAGTTAATCTATTGTTTGAAGAAATGCCAGCAGTGGCACGCGCTCGAGACATGGGTTCAGTGATGATAGGATTTTCATTCTGAATCCTAGCCTTCAACTCCCAAAATGAGAGGATTATTGCAGGATCACTTGCTGATGCTACCACCAAGGCAAGACTCCAGGAAAGAGCGAAACACCCCCAGTCCATTCTTGTTTGGGGAGGAGTCACCTCTACGGGGCAAGACTACGTATTCGATATTGTTTTCGTTGAAGCTGGTAAAAATCAACGCGGAGGTTTAAAAATATCCTGGAGGAAGTTCTCAAGCCGTGGGCCAACTCCCATTTCGGAGAAGCCTACTGGTGCTTCCAGCAGGATTCTGCTCCAGCACACAAAGCAAAGATGGTCCAGGAGTGGGCGCCGAACAAGC